ATTGCTCCTATTCTTCAAACTTTTATTTGTATATATTATATTATAAAATATAAATTCTAATTATATATATTAACTTATTTTTTCCTTTGTTTCAATTGCTATTTGATCTTATTTATTATAGCTTCTATAGTTTCATCAATTTGATGTTTCTCCTGTGGTTCTGGAAACTTATTGTTGCAATTTGTCATCCATGCTATTAGAGATCCATTATGATAAATATAGCTTAATTGTTGACTTTGTTTCGCCTGACATCTTAGGGAATATATACATAAAGGTTATTGACCCTTTTATAGCCAAGTTGATTACGAGATATTGAATTCGGAATTACATCTATTATACTATACTACAATATCAATAAAGCAGAATTCATATTTCAAATCAAATTTAATAATAATTCTAACATTAAAAAAAAAGATACTCGCTAACTTATCCCAGGTGCTACTGCTACAACCTTATATGGGAATAGATATAAATCAAGTCCCACAGTAGTGAAAATATTTTTAAAAATTGTGATCAATTGCAATGCCAAGATATCTTGATGACAATCATCACCAACTTTAAATATAGCTAACTGCCAAACATCAAGTGTTTTTGTTTTATTATTGTCACTATTTCCATTCATTAGTTGAATTATGGTTTTTTTGATGTTTTCAGAATCAGTTGTATCTTTCTGAATTTTGAATGTTGCTATGAATAGAGTCTAAATAACATTGATTAATCAATCAAAAAATAAACAAAAAACAGAAAAAATAAATAATTAATTAAATTAATTGATCGAACAATAGAAATGTAAGTTTAATATAAATAATCCTATAATCTTTGCGTGACTTTGTAATGGCCTTCTGGATTTATAATCTATGCCAACAATTTTTCTTTCTGGAATACTTGACAAATATATATCAACATTTACCTTGATTTTTGTCATTTCTTTATCAATTTTTGCCTATGCCAATAAAAAAAGTTTTAGTATTCTGAACTGTTGAGAAAAAATAATTAAAAACCAAAAAGTATATTCTTTTTTGATTTCAATTTTTTAATATAAGGTTTTAATTTTCCTGATATTGATGTTATTATATTGAAAAATGTAAATTCTCTCTTATAAAATACCTTGTCTTCACCTGACAGGGAATTGATAATATTGTCAATGATCCTTTCTAAGGTTGGTTTTAACAGATTGGGCTAGATAATATATTGCATTTTAATAAAAACATCAAATTTGAAAAAAAACAAAATCCAATAGTCCAATTTACTATTTGTGATTCATAATTTTTGTACATATTTGCCTTCATGTTCCATATGATTTGATGCACAAACTGCTGAGATATTTTAGTGGCATTCATAATAAAATGTTTTACATAGCCTAAATTGCAAATGGATATAAACATTTATTTTAAAATATACAAGAAAAGCACTTATAATAAATACCCAAGTTGTCGAATCCTAAGGCCTGGACAATTTGAGGTATATAAAAAAACAATGTTGACTGGATGATATTCAAGAGATCACATTGCATATTGTAGAATCAAGGTGTGATTGTTATAGTTTGCTTAAAAGTATAAAATAGCAGTTATTGGAGGTACTGGCTCTTAATATAACAAATACTACATATCAATAAAAATAAAAAAGGAAAAGAAGGTTAAGCAAGAAAAAATGAAGAAGACTATATGAAATACAGAATACTTTTAATTGAGAAACAATTGCATTATTTAATTTATCTCCTAGTAACAAAGGTAGTACATCCGATATTCTTACAGCATCTGCTGAATTATTGACTATCAATCTGTATACTTCATTTTGGACTACCGATTGTTTGAATCTGTTAGTCATCTGAATAGATAAACTTGATGATATCAATCAAGAATAATGAATAATTTGTTTCCAACTATTCTGCAAATATGAACACAATTTGTTAAAGCTTTCGAAAATACAAGTGATAAAAACATGCATAAGATAATTATATCACTTATGGTTCTTTCAATAATAGAAACAAAATTTTCTTTTAATATCTCAGAGGAATTTAAAGGATTGATCCACATCAACAAATTATTTATTTTGCTTTCCAAAAACAATAAAAATAATCTTTTTAATTTGGCTATCTTATCATGATCTTTCTCTTAATAAAATAATAATAATAATAATAAATCTTTTATTAATAAATATTAACTACAAGCTAAATAATCATATTATAATTTTTCTTACCTTGAATCGTAAATGTAGATGAAGCTAACGAAAACTGTGATAGCTTTTTAGAAGTTGTGGATAAAACATCGCACAATTCTACTTTATCATTTTCCACTAACTTGTAAACTTCGATCAATAACTTGTACTCGGTGATTATGAACTTCTTATTGCCATCATATGAATATCTGAAATAAAGAAATTTTTTTAAGATTGTATAATTAAACCTATCATATCTGAATAGGTGACCTTCTTACCTGATGACATGCAACTGGCATCATATAGTGAAGACAAGATGGTGCGACTGTGATCGATCGAGAATCTAGATCTGAATCCATGCATTTTAGAAGGACATACTGATATTATATTGAGTGTAACCTTCTTATCTAATGGCATGCAACTGTATATGCATGTATATATATTCTAGGTGTGATTTTGTAAGATAATTAAACTTTCGATCGTGATCATGATGGCGTTTTGGTGTTTCCAACCATTAGTCTTGGTCAATTTAGGTAAGTTCTTTGGAGTGCCGATTGAAAATTTCACCATTAACATTTTTTTTTTTGAATTTTTACTTTCATCCTCCGATATTATCAATCTCAAAATAAACTGTTTTTTGATCAGAATTTCTGATTTCTCATCATCAATAAATTTACTCAAGACAAATTACTTTTTCTTGGTTTTTCACCAGCCAGTTGTTTTTCCATACCGTTCATTTGTAAAGATTTAGCCGGAAGCTTGATCTTTAAGGAAGGTGAGGTCTTTGAAAACTTGTAATCATTATTAGTGAATTGATCGGAGATAGGACAATTTTTTTTTTGTTATTTAAATAACTAATACTAACTCAACATCATCCTTTCTTTACTGTTTTAGATTATTAATGGTTGAAAAAGGTAAGCTAAAGGTCAAATTATGTAACAAAAGAAAAGTAATCAAAAATTCGAACCATGGTTATCATTTACCAAATTTGAGGTCTTGGTAAATTGGTCATTAGTGATCTTAGTTGGACAAAATTTTTCCAATTGATTAGTTGTTTTAATTATAATCAACTAGTTGCAACTAAAATCCCTGTACTCTGATTGATTAATTTCAAACTATTCAACTAATAATTTGTAACACTATTGGTCATTCTGAATATACCCAAGGTAATGTTGTCATCAAACTCTTCATCTTCATTCTGAATAAAAAAGATTTTTTTTTTTTTTTTAATTCAAAAAAAAAAACATCAAATCAAATGTCATGTATAGTTATCCCATAAAGTAATGCCTGATAATCTTTTTATAATAAAACATAGAAAACAAAAATTTATATGATATAGAAAAAATCAAAATTTTTTTTAATTAAAAATTTTTTTTTTGAATATAATTATTAAATTCAATATTTTTCTTTTATAATTGTATGATTTTTATTGGGCTTAAATAATTATATATATATTTTTTTTAATTATAAAGTTTGCAGTTCAATTTTTTATATATAAAACTTATAAAATTTGTTAATTTAACTTTAAAGA